GCAAGTCTAATTTGTTCATCGATGATAGTACGTCGGTATCATTTAACATTGTTCACTTTGGAACTGTTTGATCGAAATGAGGTTAAAATAAACAAAAAAAAACAGATTGAACTTACATCGCTAAGTAGGGTAACACAAACTGTTGGTAAAACCTGTTAAACATGTAGATGACATGTCAAATTCTTCTGACACGCGGCAGAAGGTTGTCACTCCTTGCTGTGAAGCTGAGACAAAATATGGTACAAGGATAGAAGCAATATACTTCTTTGAAAAAATGGGTCCGGATAACGGAAAAGTACCGTTATGACTATCAGACTGTGTCTTAGACGTACCGATCCACTGAGATACCGCCGAGATCCAGGCTCTTGGAAAAAAACAGGTAGAAACGCTTTTCAAGATTTAACAGCTCATAACTTCTTCAGAAATGCATGAATCAAGTTGCGACTTCATAGGTTGGATTCTCCTCTTCAAGAGATTTTAGATGATTTATGATATGTGGGGGTTTCGCGCTTCTTATGGCGTATGCCCGGGGGTGGAGGCTTTTCCCAGCCAACGCATTGATATGGGCGAGGTGAGACTTTGGGATAAAAAGTCTCCACCCCAGCTTAGAGCCGTAAAAATCACTGAAGCCCTCCCCCCATATTTTACATCATCTGAAAGCTCTTGAAGAGGAGAATCCAACCTATGGAGTCACAACATGATTCATGCAATTCTGAAAAAGTTATGAGCTGTTAAATCTTGAAAAGCGGTTTTACCTGGTTCTTTAAAAGCCTGGATCTCGGCGCTGTTTCAGTGGATCGGTATGGATAAGACCCCTCTGATAGTGCAAACCTTACTCTACATAACATATGAAGTCGCAACATTGCGCACATTCACATTCCAATTTCATAGGAGTCTAAACGTCAGTTGTCACTAAACAACCTAAAATCGCTTAATTTTTTGATCTCGTTCTCGGCGGCCATGCTTAAATTGATTCCTTCACTATCTGGTAGAATAGCACTTTCCCTTTAAAACCTATGAAGTCGCGGTTCCTGACATCTTTGACCACCAGATTAAAGTGGAAATTTCGTTGATCTTTCGCTATTTTATTACTTGAAGTTCTGGTTCTCGGTGGTTACTTTCTGAATCGACCTACTTTCTTCGCAGCACGTTATAACAACATTTACTTAATAAAACACGTCAAGGCTGATTTTTTCTGACAAATACGCCACTTGGTTACACGTTTACTTCAAATATTTATGCCGCTGCGTCATCGTATTTGTGGCCTTAAAGAGGGCAGTTGGGTCACATTCATTGGCCCTAAAGAGGACCGTTGGGTAAGAGCTCTTCAGTAATCCGAAGTCACCATGGAGCTTTGCTCTCCAAAATCGTAGAGAGTACTGAGGCAAAGATGCGTCCATATCGGTGATGGCTTTCAGGAGCTCGCATTAGGTGACGGCGAGCTCCTAAAAGTGAACTACATAGAATTGTGCTTTCAATACTTTTTTTTGTTCGTTTTGCTCAATTTCCTTTTCCTAGTTCCAGCAAAAAAATTCAAAACTTAAAAGTGGAGGTGGTCACCCTATACCAGCTCAAAGTGAAGGTAGACGGAGACTCGGCTCCGACTATCGCACCTCTATCTACAGGGACTTCGTTTTTGAAAAATCGAAAAAGCCACTTTATGCCGAGCCCTGTCCATAATGACCCTGTAAGCTGAAAGTTCCTAGTAATCCTACAATAATAAAAGGAGTTCGGTGTTTCGCTTTATGTAATTCTGAGTCCAGGTCCCTACAAAAAGGTATTTTGAGCTTTTCGAGAGAATTCATGGCAAGAGAGATGTCAACAATCAAACGTGGGCACTTTTAGGAAACCCTGTAAATGTTCGTTATCTGCTTATGGACTATCTGGAAGCATTAGATCTCGAACTCGTCAAACAATCTGTGACACTACTCAATGGAGTACCCGTACATTGTGAACTTGCACCTTCGGGCTCTCTTCTAACTTTATTCAGAGGTTCAAGATAAATTCTCTTTTAGAAACACTAACCTCCTTTAAGATAGTTGTGAGCAAGTACTGGACATACTATTGAACATTGTCAAGGCGAATGCGATAATATGCAGCTCGTTTGGATTGACTGGGCCAAGTTCTAACCATTCTCTTGTCAGCATTTTAGCAGCCATAACGTGTTGAGGCCATGCCCGTTTGTTTCTGTGTGTGCGTGTGTGTATTTGTTGAGAATCTGTTCTTCACAAAATTCACAAAGCAAGTCGCTTCGCGTTAAAGATCCTACTATCATGTAGGTTCAGCATGCGCGGAGGTGAGCGGGTACGCTGCATGGTTCCTTTGAAAATCGTATGTTTTATAGTGTGGACACCGGCCAGCTTCCCATATGTACCTCCGCGCCGGCATGCCTTCAGTGCGCTTTTCATCTCGCCAATGGTTTTTATGCATTTTTCTAACTTTACTGACTTTGTTTTTTCTGTAGTCTCTTTATCTTAGGGTTAAGCGACCCTCGACAACTGATGTCTAAAGCTCTTACAAGCCTTAGAGGACTTGAGAAGCATTTATCTCAGAAAGTTCTAGTTTTTTCCCTTGGTAGTGAAGATGGGATGTATTTTAGGAAGAGCTTACTGCAAAGGTTTCTATCACGGATCTGGCGTATCTCTCCGAATGAGTTTGTTTTGTATAAGTGCTTTTAGTTCCTTTTCGATGCTGCATCGAAGCTTCTTCTTGTACTATTACGCTCTCGAGCTTACACTTCTCAGGTTTAAAACAGCTACCGAAGAAAAACGTTTCAGAAATGCTCCTCCCTCTGTAACTTCATAATTTTCACCCATCATTAGTTCCACTTTCATTTCTCTCCTATCTTCGTAAAAACGTTTTTTTGTTTACAAGTGAGATGAGGAGCGTCAACAGAGCGCGCGTTGGCGCGCGACGCATATGCGCCGCGGAGCTACCTTTGAGAAGCTGGCCGGGCCCCCCCCCCCCCTATACCAGATCCACATGGGTTTTCAATGACAAAGCTGGGTCCATGATCGGACTTTTTAAAATGTCGTAAGTTTTTTCTGGCTCGGAACTGTGCAAGTCATGGGGTTTAATCCAGAACGTAAGCAAATGCTTTTTTTTCGAGAGACATCGGTGCCAAAAAGTCCTTTTTATTTTGAACGAGTCTAGGATATTGACTCCGGCTGTTCTTTGATTTTGGCAATGATATGTATCGTATGTATGCTGCTGAGCAAACGCCCAAGATGGGAATCTTTCTTTATAGAGAGAAATTGCCGTTCGCAGATGTATCTTGGTCATTCGCTCAACAACATGCGTAGATTCTACGATAGGTCTCCAAACGAGCAAGAGCTTTCAAACGGGCCAGCATGCTCACTGGCAAAAGCAACTTAAAGTCAAAACTCTCCTTGTTAGCAAGACTCAAATACATCAACTTGTATTCATGCATGAAAAATCCTCTGTAAGCGGAAATGTCTGTTCATGTGAAGAAATCCTCCTACAGCCTTCATGCTCAAAAATTGAGTGGAAAGACGTAAAATAGCTAACTTATTGTTAGGTAAATTCAGATAATATGAAAGTCGAGCCTTAATTTAGCAAGCGGTACCAAAAAGCAAAAGCAGTAATTTGCTAACGCACATCGCAGAGGGTACAAAGTTAAGGATGAAAAAAATTTGAGTCAATTTAATCAGTAAAAGTTGTCGATGATTCACCTGCAGTATCAGCTTCTGCAATTAATCTAACGGTTGCAACAATGAAAACGATGATAACTTAGCGGTATACGAAATTATTTTAAAAAATCGTAGCATAAAGTTGCTCAAAAAAGAAATCAAATTCCGACTATTTGTGCTGACGACACATTAGGCTGTTATAAAGTCCTTTCCGTTTGTGCGCCTTACCTATGAACAGGACTCGGCACAAGGTGGCTTTTGGAAAATGCAAAAACCGAAGTCCTTCAGTGCGATTTTTTATGAAATTCCCTTTGACTCCAAACTCTAAACGTAAAAACCCTAGAAAAACGAAACGTCAACTAAAAAACCTTCACAATTTTTGCGTCTTCTCCGCCTCAATAGCAATATCCCCTTTGCTTTTCGTCCCAAAACAATATCCCACCTGCCTGCTCGTAAGCCACCTGTGCCGATCACTGCCTTTGAAACATGAAATAACAAGAGACATACTATTCGGCGCAACTTTTTTCTTTTTTCCGATGACTGTGTTCTGCGTTATTTCCTTTGCGGTTACTAGAATCATTGTCAAAAATTTGAACTTAAGATTTCCACCCTGCCCAAATTCGACAATTTTAAAAGTGTCATCTTGGATTTCTTGAAAGCTTTTGATAGGTGGGAAAAAGAACAAAGTATCGGGTGTTTTTTTCGTGTTTAGTTGTGTTTTCATTTTCTATGCTATATTTATTTTTCTGACAAACTTCGTATTTGGTCTAGCGCCTCGCGTACTCGGTCTAGCCAAGTCTCGCAAAACATCAACCGACGAGTCGTGTCGGCGATTTGAAGCAAGCCCGTTGAAAATCCAAAACATGTGCAAAAAAATTCAAAGAAAAAAGAAAGACAGAGTCAAGCTTACTGACTTTCTCTTTTCAACTGAGCAAAGTTGAGCCAATCAAGCTTCTCTTTGAAAAGCTATGATATCAAGAAACCAAAAAGTCAAATGAAAAATCGACTGGTTTTGATTTTACAGACAGTTTTTGGAATCATCGAGTCTGTCTTAAGTCGCCGAACCTTGAAAAACCTCTTTTCTTTCATTTTCACCTTTCTTTCATTTTGCAATCAATGCTTAGCAGAAAGCAAACAAGGCGCCAATAGAGAATCATAGATTAGCCTTTCTAATAATATTACTGCCAAGCAGAAACTTTGTAGCAGGAAAAGTTACTCGAGAAACGTAAAGTTGTACAAGTTAGAAATTCAAATTGAGCATTTTCTGCGATTTTGTTTTCTTCACTTGCAGCAAACTGGACAACATGGCAAATGTATTGAATAGCAAAGTAAACTAGAGCTTTCGTGTGCTGTCGGCGTAGTATTGCACTTGTGTATTCATCCACGTAGGCTAGAGAGGTTTTTATCTAAATGATTATCGAGTAACGGCCGCATGCCTTGACATCCACGCCGGAGAGAGGATCGGAGCTTCAAGGAAAGTCATACCCTGAAGTTGCAGATGATATATTTTACGCTATTTACCTATTCAAAAGTATTCCTACTATCTTTCACTATAAATACATTAAACATGAGCGAAAAGCTGTTCAGATTCGGCAGCCTAAAGCCATGTTCGGCTTGATGCTAAACTAAGACATTCAGCTAGGTTACTTTGTATTCTTAAAGCCTAAAGGTGAGCTGAAAGTGCAACAATGTGCTCAATTTCGCAATGTTTTGCGCGATTTTTTCGCGATAAAATTGTGCATAACTTTGTCGATAAAGGCGCTAAGCAGATATGAAGTACAGATTCGAAGTCAACGTTTTATGCTGCATCGAATAGTAGGCAGCTTGTTTAATTGGCCATTTCTCGGCATTCCGTTGTAGGCATGTTTTCAAAACAAGTGATGTATTCAGGTGTCATGAAATTTGAGATGAATTACAGGTCCAAAGTTGAGGTTTGTCGAAAATTTCGGTACTTTTTAACTTATTTGTTCTTATCCGCAACATACTTAGCACTGTTGAGTTGGAGTCAGTACTATTTTGGAATGTTTCGTTGACTACGAGGAAGAAGAAATTACTTTGAAGCAAAGGCGATCGGCCGCGGGGATGATCGAGTATTACAAAAAGCTAGAAATACGCTAGAGCAGCTCCTTTTGCGAAAGTGGTTGTACAGCTTTTCGTTCCTATTCATGCTTTCATAGTGACGAAGAGTGGGAATACTTACGGATAGGTAGACAGAGAAGATCCAGATATGTGTTCAGTTGAAATGGTCTTTAGATAAGATAGACACCACATTGTAGGGTTTAAGACGATCATGCCAAATCTTCCTTCCTCATCTACGGAGTGCGGACAAAGAGTTATGAGGGTTAATAAGAGCTGAATATGACACAAGTAGAAAGTAGAATCAAGAACCACACCCCGTTGTTTGTTGGCTAGAATACTTATGTAGAGACTCAACACTTGTAGCACTTTTCGAACATCGACTTTGGGCCTTCTCACAATCAAACGATATAGCTGGCAATTTGATGCGTCTCTTCATTCTGCTCAATTCAGAATTTGATCCTTGTTTGCTTGATATGAAATGCTTGCGACACCTTTTCAAACATCTCGCGCGCTTTTGTAAAAGTTTCTAGCAGTGATTCCCGACATTCCCCAACTTATAATGCTAGAAAGACTCATGGAATTAAATACAAACTTGTAAAAGGCACAGGAATGTCATATAAAAAGATTACCAGATTCGGTATTTCAAGTTGGTTTTTATACCATACATACTGCCAATGTTTCTCAAGAGATACCTAGATCACGCCTTATTAAGCTCAAGACATGCACGGAAGGGAGGAAAGGATATATTTGAAAGTTAGTCAATTCTTGTGCGATGATCTAGTATCATCCCATTACAATACCGCTCATAATTCGTCAAAAAAGTCGCCGGACTGCGGCGCACTCCGCCACACTCCGCCGCAGTGCGCCGGAATGATCGTCAATTTAGCCATATCTGGTTTCAGAATAGACGAATTCTGAATCCGAGGACACCGTTCGATTCAGCTCGGCGAGAAGCATCATCTTATATATGAAGCTGAACGTCTGTTTGTCTGTTTGTCTGTACGTATGTTCCGAATAGAAAATTCCATTTCTGAACCGATCCGGACCAAACTTGGCACACATACATTTCGGGCCCCGTTGGGTGTCATAGGCTACCTTTCGTCATCGCTCGATATCGATTTTATCGATTTTTATCGATTTTTTTGCAGAGTCCACCTACGGGGCCGGGAGTTGGCACAGGGGGGTAAGTGAGCATGGGGATTCCGAATACAATATAGTTTGCAGAATTATCGATTAGTTTTATCGATTTTTTTGATAACCGTATTACCATTGATCTGTCGCTGATGACACAAAGACAGTATACTACAGGAGTATGGTAGAGAGCGAGCCAGTCTGATCGAATTTGTTCTAAGATCTGCTCAAGATCACAATACCACCCACAGAATGTCACAATTTCCGTGAACTTCCCGGATTATCGCACACTCTGGCGGAAATACCGGAATTCCGCGAAGTTCACGGAAATTGTGACATTCTGTGGGTGGTATTGTGATCTTGAGCAGATCTTAGAACAAATTCGATCAGACTGGCTCGCTCTCTACCATACTCCTGTAGTATACTGTCTTTGTGTCATCAGCGACAGATCAATGGTAATACGGTTATCAGCACACTGAATTCAACCAAAATGATAATCGATAATTCTGCAAACTATATTGTATTCGGAATCCCCATGCTCACTTACCCCCCTGTGCCAACTCCCGGCCCCGTAGGTGGGCTCTGCAAAAAAAACGATAAAAATCGATAAAATCGATATCGAGCGATGACGAAAGGTAGCCTATGACACCCAACGGGGCCCGAAATGTATATGTGCCAAGTTTGGTCCGGATCGGTTCAGAAATGGAATTTTCTATTCGGAACATACGTACAGACAAACAGACAAACAGACGTTCAGCTTCATATATAAGATGATGCGTCTCGCCGAGCTGAATCGAACGGGTCCTCGGATTCAGAATTCGTCTATTCTGAAGCGAGATATGGCTAAATTGACGATCATTCCGGCGCACTGCGGCGGAGTGTGGCGCACTCTGCCGCACTTCGGAGCACTCTGCCACACTCCGTCGCACTGCGGCGGAGTGTGGCGGAGTGCGCCGCAGTCCGGCGACTTTTTTGACGATTTATGAGGGGTATTGTACCTTTACAGCGACTTGACAACTTACCAAAAGCTTTCCTGTACCGGCCTGTGCAGGTTTGTCGCACAGTCTTGCAAAAGTTGCTATAACGATAATTTTCAATTTCTAATTCCTAATCTTTATGAGTTAAACGTACGTGATTCAGGAACAACAACTGGCAATGCCAGCAGCCAAAGTGTCCAGAGCCAAAGCTTGTCTTGTAAATGAAGCATCATATCTCGCTGAGTTGTGCCGCCTTGTTATGATATAGTTCTATTTCTGCAAAGAAATTGAAGTCATTTTGCTCCATACATTTTCCTCCCGTAGCAATTCTGTTAATTTTGTTTTGATTTGCGCTGTGGCCAGGCCAGATCCCCGCCCTTACTCAGACAATCGCTGGGGGCAGGCGGGCACCGGAAAAATATATTGCTGATTTCTCGCATCCCGCTCGCGGATTTTTTGCAAAGCAATCAGGACTTTTAGGAAGACCGCTTGCTGAGTCAGCGGATTTTTGAGAGACCGCCTGTTGAATTTTTTTCGCTCTTATCTTTTGCAGATATATTGCTGAATCTCTGAGGAATCGGGAACTCAGCAAGCGGTCTTCCGAAAAGTCCTGATTGCTTTCCAAAAAATCCGCGAGCGGGGTGCGAGAGATCAGCAATCTATTTTTCCGGTGCCCGCCTGCCCCCGGCGATTGTCTGAGTAGCTGCAGGTAAGAATCGTGGCTGCTCACTTCAAGTACCAATGTCGGCTATGCATCTAAGAAAAGCAAGAGCACAGCTGCTAGGTTTGCTCTTGTCAAGGACAAAGTCTTATTCGTACAGACAAAAACGACATGGCGGTAATGACACCCCATAACATTCTCATGCTCTGCACCTACAGTGCCGGGACAGTCTCCATTGACTCCAGTTTCTGACGCTGCGGAACACATCAAGTACCACGTCATTGCGCAGCAGAAAACGAAGACCACGAAGAAGGACAAGCTACAGTCGATTAATGGGAGTCTCATCATTTGTGGGGACGAAGTTTCATCATGAAACGTGAGGCGTTGGCTTCTCTATGTTATCTTTCCCAAGCCACCTTAGGTGGCTTCCAGATGGTTTGTGACCCGCTTAACTCCGAGAAAAGTTGAACACGCCTTTAGTTAACGTAAATTTTTCATGATTTATATATATTATATATCTTAACTTATAATAACAGGCTAAGGGTTGTTTACGTGTGTGTGTGTTGTGTGTGTGTGTGTGTGTGTGTGTGTGTGTGTGTGTGTGTGTGTGTGTGTGTGTGTGTGTGTGTGTGTGTGTGTGTGTGTGTGTGTGTGTGTGTGTGTGTGTGTGTGTGTGTGTGTGTGTGTGTGTGTGTGTGTGTGTGTGTGTGTGTGTGTGTGTGTGTGTGTGTGTGTGTGTGTGTGTGTGTGTGTGTGTGTGTGTGTGTGTGTGTGTGTGTGTGTGTGTGTGTGTGTGTGTGTGTGTGTGTGTGTGTGTGTGTGTGTGTGTGTGTGTGTGTGTGTGTGTGTGTGTGTGTGTGTGTGTGTGTGTGTGAATCTCTGTCTGTCACGAAATTCGTAGAGCGAGTCCCAGCAAAGGTCTTGAGCTAGAATTTTGGTAGTAGCACCTTGTCAGCATGTAGTTAAGATGTGCAAATGCAGAAGCCTATCCATCGATTGAAACCTGTGAAAGTGCGCCAATCGGATCCACGCGATAATTCGCTAGCCAAAGTGGACATCCAACGTCATGGTTTCGTTTAGCAAGTAAATCCGCAAATCATGGACACTCCACCCCGAAAAGTGAGCAAAAAGTTTAATTTCATGCAAGATCGGCGCCAAACAGGAATAACTGCGTAGATGATCGATGTGTCAAATTTTACTTGGGAATGTGAGATTGCTCAAAGATGTAACTCACGATTTTTATCATCTTTATGGTGACCACAAGTCATTATAACCCCAGTAACTAATTCAGAACTTTGGACTAATTCAGAACTTTGGACCAGACTTTTGGAGAATACTTTCTTTCCGTCAAATCACCAATCTTACATGAAAAAACCTCTAGAATGAGTAGTTGTTTACATTTCATACATGATGATGGGCATGGCGAGGTAAGTTTCAAAGCCATTAATATGCGACCACGAGAAAGGCATGTGGATAGTAGAGCCAATGCGAGCCTCTGCGAAGCAGAGGTGACGCACTGGTATCATCTATCATCATGACTTATAATAAGCGGCTAAGGATGTTTACGTCTTTTTGTCTGTGTGTGTGTGTGTCTGTCCGTTACGAAATTCGTAGAGCGTGTTCCAACTAACATCCCGAGCCCAAATTTTGCATAGCGCACGCTACCAGCATGAAAGCTCACTGTACAAAATCATGAGTGGATCCGTTGAGTGGATCCGTTGAAAACTGCGCGTTAAACGGATCCACATGGCTTCTGGCCAGCAAATTGGGTCCGTAGTGCTACTTTTTGCAGAGCTATGAATATTTTTGACAAGTTAATGTGCAAGCCATGGATGTTAGCATAAAAAAGTGATGAAAAGTCTACTACTTTGCGAAAACAGCGCCAAAGAGCATTGGCTGAGTAAACGGTCAGTTTTCCAAGATTTTACCTGATCATTTGAAAAGATTTTTGCACGAAGATGAAGCCCACGATGTTTATTGTTTTTATGGCGACTAGGGAGCCATGAAAATTCCAAAAACCTATTCAAATTTGCATCTGTTCTTCTGGAAAAGATTTCATCCACGCGAAAATACCGATCTCACACGAAAAACCTCTAGGAATGAGTAGTTGTTTACGGATTATTCGTAATAGCTTACACAGCGCGGTGAGTTTCAATGTAATTATATGCGGAAATGAGTAAGGCATAGAAGGTAGGGCCAGTGCGAGCCTCTGCGAAGCAGAGGTGACGCACTGGTGTCTTATGATAACGGGCTAAGGATGTTTACGTGACTTTGTGTGTGTGTGTGTCTGTTACGAAATTCGTGGAGGGTGTTCCAGCCAGCGTTTTAAGCCCAAACTTTGTATAGTGCATGCTACCTTCATGAAAGTCCAACATGCAAAAGTACGAGTAGATTCGTTGAGTGGATCCCTCAGAAATTGCGCGCCAAAGGGGTCCACCTGACTTCTGTACCGCAAAATTCGGTCCGTATCATTACTTTGTGCAGAGTCGTGGATGAGTTTGGTAAGCAAATGTGCAAGCGATGGAGTTTAGCCAGAAAAGTGGTCGAAAGTTTACTACATAACGAAAACGGCGCCAAAACGAATTGGCTTTGTAAATGATCAATTTGGCAAGGTTCTAGCTAAGCGTTTGAGAAGGTTTTCGGACAGAGATGTACCTCACGGTTACTATTACCTTTACGGCGACTACTAAGCCATGACAAATCCAAAAACCTATTCAAATTTGCGTTTGTCTTCCTGCGAAAAGTTTCATCCACGCGAAATCACCGATCTCACGTGAAAAGACTTTCTAAATGAGTGGTTGTTTACATTTTATTCGTGGTAGTTGGCATAGCGCGGTGAGTTCCAGTGCCACGATTTTACGAGAATGAGTAGGGCACATAGATAGTAGAGCCAGTGCGAACCTCTGCGAAGCAGAAGTGACGCGCAGGTATATATATAAAACTCAAAATTGTGATTTTGGAGGCTATGTGCGTTATAGAAACGCGCGCCGCTGAACCGTCAGCTGAAACTTTGCACGCATACGTTTTCGACCCCTGCGCAGATGATAGGCTACTTTTTGCGGCGATTCGTTGGGTCCTTCTATCGATTTATTGATTTGTTTACGTTTTTCTAAGGAATGGAAGGCTTACCATGTTTGACCAAGCATTTTCTCATTGTCATGTAAAGGAGAGCGGTAAAGTTCATTTCTACCTCAGGATCACGAGGATGCATTGAACCGAAATGGGCGCCGCAAGGTAGGTCATTCATATAAAAAACGGGGGTGGGGGGTTGCAGTGCAGTAGTTTTGCTGGCAACCGCACCATCTACCTCATCTGTGAAAAATACCCCGGGCTGCACCGGGGAAGCCAACTAGTAACTTATAATAACGGGGTAAGGGTTGTTTACGTTTGTTTGTGTATGTGAATCTTGTCTGTCACGAAATTCGTAGAGCGTGTTCTAGCCAACGTCTTGAGCCCAAATTTTGCACAGCGCACGCTACCAGCATGAATGCTTACTATACAAAAGCATGAGCGGATCCGTTGAGTCGATCCATTGAGAACTGCGCGCCAAACGGATCCACTTGGCTTCTGGCTAGCAAATTTGGGTCCGTAGTACTACTTTTTGCAGAGTTAAGGATATATTTGACAAGATAATGTGAAAGCCATGGACGTTAGCCTAAAAAAGTAATGAAAACTCTACTACTTTACGAAAACAGCGCCAAAAAGCATTCGCTGTGTAAACGGTCAATATTTCAAGATTTTACCTGATTATTTGAGAAGATTTTTGAACAGAGGTGTAGACCACTATGTTTATTGTCCTTACGGCGACTATCAAGCCATAAAAATTCCAAAAGCCTATTCGAATTTGCACTGTTCTTCTGGGAAAGATTTTATCCACGTGAAAATGCCGATCTCACAAGGAAAACCTCTACGAATGAGTGGTTGTTTACGAATTATTCGTGATAGCCTACATAGCGCGGTGAGTTTCAATGTCATTATCATACGGGAGATTTTTGCCCATTATTTGGGCTAGAGTCCAAGGCTTGCACATTTACTTGTCATACACCTCAACGACATCGCAAAAAGTGCTCATAGGGACCCAATTTTGTGGGTAAAAAGCGAAGTGGACCCGTTTGACGCGCAATTTGTGTGAGTTCCACTCAACGAATCCGCTCATGCTTTTGCATGGTGGAGTTTTGTGCTGGTAGCATGTGCTGTGCAAAATTTGGACCCAGGACGTTTGCTGGAACAGGCTCAACGAATTTCGTGACAGACAGAGATTTACACAGACAGAACAGACAGACAGACAAACGTAAGCAACCCTTAGCCCGTCATTATCAGTTATGATATATATACCGACCTAATATGTATATACAGGGTGTCCCAAAAAAATGTATCGAACGTTTGATCGCTAATATCTCTCTTCCCAAGAAGTCTTTTGTCTTGCTTCAGGTACCATTTTGTAGAGCTGGCTTTAGCTTAGATTTGCACTATAGAACGAATCACCCATCCCTCTTCATTACTGTAGGATTACGGTAGAAACTTAAAACATATGGTGTCAACGTGGAAAAAGCTGCCTTTTCAAAATTTTTCAAAAAAATGTGAAAACTTGTGTAATAGGGTTTTTATGGACGCT